GATAGCACTGTCTCTCTCAGCTAAGACTAGCCATTCAGCTCTCTCTCACTCTCTCTTTCTCTTGTTCAGCCCCTCAGCCACGTGGTCCCTTGGCCTCTGGCTTGCTCCACAGACCAGGAAGCCCATCGCTGTCTCTGCCCTCCCTCCTCAGGGTCTTAGCCTCTCCTGCCTTTTTGTCTTGAGCACCTCGTGACCGTTCCAAAGACAGAGCCTAGGGACCAGTGGGCTTGTGCCCTGGGGCAGCGCCCTTGCAGTCTCATGCTTGTCTTCCCTCGTATGTGGTTAGGCATCAGTGGGCTGATGCACCAGGGCAGAGCGACCTTTCGGTCTCTAAGCTTCCCACGGTGACTAGGCCAGGTTCTTCCAGGAGCCTAACACACTCCAGGAGCCAGAGTATTTTCACCAATTTATTCCCACGGGCATCCACACATAACAATAGCAAGTTAAGAAAAAGCAGGCCAGACTTACCAGCAAGAGCGAAGGAAGGAACATTCTGCTCTGTTGCAGCGGTCAGGAAACGCTACCCCTCTGGCTCTTAGCTGGATTTTTGTACACATGGGGCAGGGAGGGGAGTGACGAGTCATATAGATGGTGGTGGGTGTTCAGTCCGATTCTGGGTGCAACCTCAATGGTTTAGTCCGATAGCCTTGGACGCTAGCCCGTTGTTGACTTCTTTCTTCTTGGTGGCCTCTGGTCAACCTTTTTATTGTCCATGGGGACTCCATGGCGCAGGCGCTATGTGCTTTGTCACTTCAGCCAGGTCCTTTCCCCCCCAAGCTTTTATTTTGAACTGGATGAAGGTTTACAGAGCAACAATCCGTTTCCCATTCAACGACTCATGCAGAGTTTGTTTCAAGGCATTGATGGCCTGCCGGGCAGAAGTGGGAGTTGGCAGGGCAGGCAGGTGGAAAGATACCCGGGGCTGGTGAACACACTTCAAGGCCGCAGTGAGAGGCCAGGCCTCCCCCTCCCCTTCAGTGGCTTTCCAGGTGCAGATCCAGGAGGCTGACCGCTGCAGCTAACATTGAACATCGGTGCTTAGCCCCGGATTTGCAGACAGCAACGTTGCAATGGAAAATTCCCTCCCCTAGACCTACTCCCTCCCCTAGACCTATACAAGCTCTACCTCTTGCCCTGACAGCGAGACTTTGCTGGGGGGCGGGGGGCAGGCAGCTGGGAACCCAGAAACCTCACCTGGGAGCTCAGGATGCCCCCCTCCCTTTCTCTGTATTCCCCTCCCTCCTGGGTGGTGGCGACTTCTGTAGCCCCGATTAGGGGCCTGTGAACCTCACCCCGGAGCTCTGAAATAGATCTTTAAAACTATTTTCTGCCTTTGCTTTCTCTGTCTCTCTCTCTTTCCGTCGCCAAATCTACCTTACATTGCCCTCCTCCTGCGATGTCCTCTCACCTCTCCTGCCACCTTTTTGAATTTCCCATTTGCATTTCTTCTTCCCTCTGCTTCCTGCCTTCTGAATTTTATCTTTGGGTAAGTGCTGCCCTTTTGATCTGAAACTGGTGATTGTGCTGGGGTGTGTGTGTGTGTGTGTGTGTGTGTGTATACTGCCCTTGCGTTATTGTGGTTATTAGGTGCCGTTGGGTCCATCACAACTCTGTGCACAACAGAACAAAACTCGACACACAACCCAACAACAGTAAGGGCCACGATGTCCTACGTGCTCTGCTGGCCACTCTTCTTCCCTTCCGGGTGGTCTCAGGATTCTCTGTTTCTGAGATGGGTATCTGTCAGGGTAGCCAGCTCCTGACAAATCGCCGAAGGCCCGGCAGGTGCTATAATATATATAGAGATGAAAAAAATAAAATAAATATATAGAGAGATGATAGTAAAGGCATAGCAAATAAGAGAGGTCGGAGAGAAGATAAAATAAAAGAGTCAGACGCATGTTATGGTAGCATGCTCACCTCAACCCCCTTGGATGGTCCACGTAGCGATCCGGAGACCAGAGAGGAGCACAAGGGAGAGGGATGGGGAAGGAGGACAGGGGGAGAGTGGACTGGAGGGAAGAGTGTCTTTATCGTGTGGGGGCTGTTTGTAGGCAGCCATAAGACACGCATCTTCAGTAGTTACACATATCACAAGGTGGGTGGTAATCACAGCAATGTCCCTGGGCTCACAGGTGAGGAAGCCTACTACCTGCATGGGGGGAAGACATGAGGGGGGATGGGCGCCTCGGTGGGAGGAGATCATCGGGGAATGTCTGCCTCTACAGGGAGACAGCATCAACCATGTGCTCACTTTAAGGCAGCCGAGCTTGGGGGGATGGATCTGCGGGAGTGACATTTGCCAGTTTCCCACAGTTATCTTCCCTGCAGAGCAATGGCCACACTGCCCAGCCCCTCTACTAGACGTTCCCACACCCTATTTGCACGGTGCCACCCAATCATTTGGTGGGCGTTACAAAGACGTGGCCAGAAGAGCCACGTTTAAGCAATCGTACTTCACCTCATCGCTCAGCTCTCTCTCCACCCGAGCGTGACCTTTGTAAGCATCTTGCTCTGTGGGCCAGTCAGGGAGCCCCCATTGCGCCATCTCGTGCTGGTCTCCCGGCGCTGCAGCCACTGTTTCTTGCTGTGGCCAGTGGTGACAGCTCTCTGCTCGGCCCCGGAGTCTAGGCAGAAGGGGACCTGGGTCCAAAGGAAACACCTCGCCAAAGATAAACGCATTTGTGTTGTTTTGTCCTTTGGGGGTTGCTTTTTCTTTTGAAACTTTTTATTCTGGGTTGGGTGAAGGAGAAAATCCGGTTTTGTGCCAACCTTTCATCCACGTTCTGACTCAAGCCATCCATCGGAGCGCCCTCAAGGGATCACCCTGCATCCTACATCCTCCTCCTTGGCTGACCCTCCCAAGCTTTGTCCTCGGGGAAATGCTGCCCTTTTGATCTTCCATGGCTGATTCAGTCTAACCTTGGCTGTTGCCCATTTGATTCTATCAGGGACAGAGCCTAAGGGAACGCAGAGTTTAAGGCACACCTACTTCACAGTGAGGCTAAGCTATTGTTCTGCTTTAAGATGTCGTTTAAAGATGATCTCAGGGCTACAGTTCAGGGCTATCATCCGGCTTCCATGGCTGCAGAAAATCTGGATGCCTGGAAAATGCAAAATTCTGTTCCACATCTCCCTCTTCTTGATCAGGATTATTCTGGAGAATCTTCCAACAATGTGTTCAAGAATGGTAGCCCAGCCCCACCCCATTGTCCGGTCTCCTGGCACAAGAGACAATTAGCCACACAGTTCAGTCCCTCTCCCCATCCCTGAGTTTCCTCCTTTCTCTGTTGCTCACCAGGTTTTGATGGTTGCTCTGGTCGAGGCCTGAGGCTTGGAGGCCCCAGCAAACACTTACAGGGTAAAGGCTCTTCTCTCCATCTCAGTTCCCGCTGGTCTCCAGGACAACGAGACACCGGGATGCAATGGCACACCGTGAAAAATGTCCCCATGAAATCTGAGTAGACACTGGCAACTGCGAGCCTAATTTGCTGTGTAAATGTTCACCCCAAACACAGGATGAGTGCTTAAAAACAAGGTCACAAACCAAGCATCCCACATCTGGGTTCCCAAGTGCCCAGTGCTACCTTCACGACTGCATGTCACCCTGCAATATTGTCCCCTTTGCCCATGTGTGGGGTACCAGCCCCCACCATCAAATGGGTCCAAGGGGGTGCTTGTGTAATCAAGAGGTAAAATTAAGGAGCTATCAGACAAGATAAGGTATGCAAGTGCTCACCACTGGGACTGCCATGACTTCAGGAGCCAGGTCTGAGCAGAAAGAGAATATATTTCCAACCAAGGCTTATACACACTCAGGGGGCGTGCAAGCCCCCCTAATTACAGGTAACACATGTGTAACAGGAAGGGGTTGTACAATAGGCATAAGAGTAACAGAAGGACGATGAGCTAGGGGTGTACAGGCAATAGTACAGGTACTAGGGCAGTGGTTCTCAATCTTCCTAATGCTGTGACCCTTTAATACAGTTCCTCATGTTGTGGTGACCCCCAACCATAAAATTATTTTCATTGCTACTTCATAACTGTAATTTTGCTACTGTTATGTAGCAAATATCTGATTATGTAAATATCTGATATGCAGGATGTATTTTCATCGTTACAAATTGAACATAATTAAAGCATAGTGATTCATCACAAAACAATGCAGTTATATATTGTGAAATTTTTATTTCTAATGACAAATCAATGAAATTTTGTCTTGAAGCATGGTGTAGCATGGGTAACAACAGTCTTCATGCCAGGTACTCGTAGGTGGGTGTATCTGCATGTGGCAGACCCGCCTGGAGATGGATAGAGAAGCGGTGTCTTCGTTCCTATGACCATTGGAAATATGTGTTTTCTGATGGTCTTAGACGACCCATGTGAAAGAGTCGAGACTCATAGGTTGAGAACCGCTGCACTGGGGCACCCATGTGACATGAAGGCATACACATAAGATGGGCGGGCTCTAGTCAAGATGGCAGCCTAACCTTGGTCTTCCCTGAGTTGGCGATCTCTCCTTCAGGGGAATAATCCATTATCCTTATCAGAAAGGAGTGGGCCCTATTTAGGGTGGGACAGACAATAGGGTCTATTTGCCTTAGATGGCTGATAACCTTTGGGCAGTTAGCCTTTAAACAGTTGACCTCCCAAGTGTACAGTCAGTGACCATGTGTTTGCAAACAGCACCTTTGGGGGATTATTATGGGGGGGACATCGTGGGGGAGTAACTTTTACTTAGGAGCCTTGGCCCCCCCAGACTCCTTCATGTATGGATGTGGAGCATTAATCTGCATACACTGTCTTCCCGGTTTTGTTTCCCACACCCACATCTGCCTCTCTGCAGTATGGGGTCTTCTCAAGGTCAGGGGCTGCCTGTGACTCGCCTGGGTCCACGGCATCGCCCGGCATAGGGCCCAGCACCCAGGAGACTTAGGTAAACGTTTGGTGAGTGAATCAGAGGAGGAGCTCCGGAGGGAAGAGTGGACTGAGTCAGGTACTAAGAGTCATTTTTGTTTTTATTACAGAATTTCGACGAAGGGGGATGTGGGGCTCAGATCCGCCCAATCTCCTTCAGTTTGGCCACCAGGTCCTCCGTGGTCTCCACCTTGACGCCAGCCGCGCGCTGGGGTGGGTCCTCCACACTAATCACAGTCAGCTTGGAGGTCAGGTCCACGCCCAGGTCCCCAGCCTTGACCACCTCGATCTTCTTCTTCTTGGCTTTCTGCATGGGGGGAGGCCACAGCTTCAAGGGCTGCTGCAGCCCCTGCCTCACCCAATGCCCGGCTCGCCTTGAATCCCCTTCCCACGACTGCCATTTCTGCAGAGGCATTCCCACCGCCTGCTCCTTCTGGACCTGTCCACACCCAGAACACGGGAGGCCTCTTACAGGGATCCGGCCGGTGTGGACAGTTAGCTCCCGTTGGCTGGGGCGCCCTCCGTTAAGACCACCATCTGGGTCAAATCAACTGGCTGGAATGTACGGATGGGCCATCCTGTTGGTGGTAATAATTCCCTGGACTTTTGGCTGCTCTGACCCTTCTATTGGTTGATAGTACCCGCCGAGCCCTCCTATTGGTTTAGATGCCTTATTGTAACCTCCCTTTTGAGTGAGAATGCCTAACAGACCCTCCTTATTGGCCGAGAAGACTGTGGATCTGCCCTAACCTACCAACGCTACCCTATTGGCTGAAATGACTCAATAAGCATTCCTATTGGCTTAGATGACCCGATGAGCTCTTTTGCTAGGATACTGACACAATGAACCCTCCCTATTGGCTGATAGGAATCAGCCTGAATCCTACCTATTTGCTGAGATGACGCAGTGAATCCTCTCTCGGTTAGGCTAACCTACTGATCTTTTCCTACTGGCTGAATGACCCCACGCCCCTTCCCTATTGGTTGATATGACCCACTGAACCCTCCCCTATTGACCCAAGGACCCCATCTTACAGGCCATGAAGATCAATGAATTCTTCCTCTTAGCCCTGAGATCCCACGAGCCCTTCCTGTTAACCAAGAGGGCCTGATGATTCCTCTGATGAACTAAGATAACCTAACGGAATCCTTTTATCTGGCCAATAGGAACCAACAATCCTCTCCATTGACTGGAACGAGCAGGGGAGCCCTTTCTATTGGCTAAGGTAACTTTGCTGTTGGCGAAACCCAACCTTAACCCATTGCTGTCCAGTCGGTTCTGACTCCTCGTTGACCCCACAGGACGGCGCAGAACTGTCCTATAAGCTTTCCAGAGCTGTGCTTTTCCTTCGGGAACAGCCTGCCTTGTCTTTCTTGTGTGGAGCGGCTGGTGGGTCTCAACAGTCAGCCCAATGCTTACAGCACCTGCCACCAGGGCCCCCATCTGTTGGCTAGGATAACCAGTGGTCTTGGCCAGACTAGTTCCCGGGAAATCTCCCTCCAGGCAGGGAAAACCCAGGAAGCCCCATGAAGCCCCATGCCCAGGTGAAGGGACGCCTTCCTCTGGATGAAAGGTCCCCAGTTCCTGTTCCCCATGTCCCCGTGACCAGCAGGGGTGCATAGGGCCTTGGTGCTCACCATGATGTTGGGCAGCGTGGCATAGCGGGGCTCGTTGAGCCGCAGGTCTGCGGTCACCACGGCGGGCAGCTTCAGGCGCACGGTCTCCAGGCCCCCGTCAACCTCCCGCTCCACTTTGACCTTGCTCCCCTCCAGCGTCACCTGGGAGGCGAATGTGCCCTGGGGAGGGGCGGCGGCAGAGCAGCGAGATTAACGCAGGCTAGGCAGCATTGGGGTGGGGTCCCCTGGAGTAGCTTTGAACTCGAGGCAGCCCCAGAGGGTACCCTAGCTGTGAGCTTTGTGGGGGCGCCTCGCCATGTCTTTTCTCCCGTGGAGGAGCGGCTGCTGATCTGGTTAGCTCCTGGACCCTCCATCAGTCCGCACGGACTCGTGGCCACCCTGGACCATGTTTCTAAGGCTCAAAGGCTTCAGGGGGTGCAGATGGCCTCATCTGTCTCCCTCGGGGTGGCTGCTGGGCTCGAGCTCCTGACCGTGCGGCTGGCAGTTGCCGTGGTTGTGGTTTCCCTCCGACCACAGCGACCCCACTGGGAGGAGTGGAATTGCCTCAGTGGGTTTCCAAGGCCTGTAGCTCTTTCCAGGAGCAGAAAGCCAACTCTTCCTTCTGAGGAGCAGTTAGTAGTTTCGAACTGTCGGCTTTACAGTGAGCAGCCCCAAACGCCCCCACTACACCGCGCTGGGCTCCTTGGGTTTAGTATAGGAGGTATGTGATGGTACTTTTTAATGTTAAAATATCTTATTAAAGTTAACATACTTTAAATGAATACTTTGAATGTTAAGACATATATGCTGTCTGCTATTGAAATCGATGTTTTAAATTCATAAGATCGGTATTTCAAAATGTTAAAAATATATGGGAAGTCTATTCTCAAAATTAATGTTGTAAATTAGTAAGTGTTTTAAATTAATAAAATTAATATTGTAGAGTGGCTAGTGGACTCCAGCCATCAGCCTCCTTCTACAATATTAATTTTAAACCCCTTTAAATGTTAAGATACATGCTAAATGTATTATGGAAACTAATACATCTCAAATTAATACATACACTTTTTTGTACACCACACTCATTGCATGGAGTCAATGCCGGCGCATAGCAACCCTACAGGTCAGGGTAGAACTGCCCTGGTGAGTTTCTGAGACTGCAGCTCTTTCCCGGAGCTGAAAGCCCCATCTTTAGTTTATGAACTGCTGATCTTGCAGTTAGGCACCCAATGCAGAATCACTTCGCCACCAGGGCTCCTAATAAATCTTTCAAATTAATAAAGTTAATCATTTCTGTAATATGTTAAAACAAATGCTAAATGCATTATTAAAATGAATACTACCTACTACTTAGGCTTTGGGACAGGACCACTAGGCCTGAAGGCTAGTTCGGTGGGCAAAACAGAGCTCCTAAAGATAAGAATTCTACTTCCTGGCCTGGTGAGTAGTACCGGGGCGCTTAAAAGCTTGGGAATAGCCATCTAAGAAGGTCTTTTCCTGCCTGGAGCAAGAGAGAATGACAAAAAAAGAAAAAGAAAACTCGAAGAAGTAGTTAGTGCAAATGACTAGTGGCTCAGAAGAAGTGCAGTCTCTTCCACGCTGAGACCAGAAGCACTAGATGGTGCCCGGTTCCCACTGCCGACCACTCTGACAATAGAAAGTCCATGTTAGAAGGTTTTGGGGTTTGGGTTTGTTGTTTTTTAAGTGAAACAAAACAACAGTGCCTGAGTTACTTAATATGGGCCGTCTAGCCATAGTCTTTGTGACTTTTCACCAAATGTTTATGTGGGACTGTGCAAGTGAGGTTCTTGGAGCCCACCAAGGGGACTGGACACCTTGCTGATATTGCAAACAAAGTGCCTGGCGCTCTTGTGAGGCTGGCTCCATGCAAACCAGGGGCGTGAGACCCTAAGGGGAGGGTGTTGGTTTTGCCATCCCGTTGGACTGAAAAGGAGACATTTCACATGTGGAAAGTGGGGACCTCACAACCACCAAGGCAGGAGCGGGGCAAGTCCTCTGGCCCTGGGATCCCTGTGCTGAGAGCCTCCTGGACCCAGGAGACAGAGACAGACAGAGCTGCAACACCGGAGACAAGAGAGGGTGAGAAGCCATGGCAGAAAAATGGCAACAGAACTGGAAGTGGCTGGAGACAACAATGTGAGGGGCTTCCCAGCCCGTGCGTGGAGCAAGAGAACTGTGTGTCTTTGGGCTAAGGCTTCCGGGTAGAGTGGGGTGCCTCCAGGCTGGCATCAGCAGGGCTAAAAGAGCTTTGTAACACTTGCCAGAGCAGGCCAGAGGCCAGGCAAAGGCCTGTGTGCAGGCACAGCTGAGAGGAGGCTGTTTTGACTGAAGAACTGTATCCTGAGCATTCCTGAACCTGAATTATAACCTGTGACTTCCCTGAGCAAAGACATAACGGTGGGAATGGCCCTTGAGTTCTGTGTGGTCACTGGAAGGTCTCTAGAACCCAGCGGAGGACAGTGCTGTGGGAGCAGGGATGCTGAGCACCCTGTGGGAGGGATGGCTGGTGTCAGGGTTGGTCACAGGTTGGAGGCCTGTCTGATCTCCACCTCCTGAGAGCCAGTCTTGGGCTGCTGGTGGCCATAGTGACCCTCCTCCCGCTGCCTGTGGGGTCACAAGAGGCCACACACCTCCCCCACATTTTCCTAATCGTCCGGCCAGCCCTGGGACAGACATGGGGTGGAGAACCCGCAGTTGGGGGGCTGAGGGTGAAGTATTTCCTATAGTGAGGGCAGGGGAGTCCTCTCTGAAGACGTTATTATTTGAACAGAGACCTGAAGCAGAGGAGCAATAAACCCAGGTGATACTTTGAGGGAACAGTGTTCTGAGCTCAGGGAACAGCAAGGGCAGAGGCCCCGTGGCACAGAAGAGGCTGGTCTGGCTGAGGAGCAGATGCTGATGCCCATAAAGGCTGCCCGGCTCCTTGCAGCTCACTGGAGTAGCTGGCCTGCACAGAAGAGCAGGGAGAGGGGTGAGCCTTATTCTCTTCCGGAACAGGTGCCCACAAGAACATTCTATGTCTGCCATGCATTGCATGGTACTCTCCAAAAAACATGTATCAACGGGGCTGGGTCATTATTCTCGGTGGTTTGGCAGTTATGGGATGATGTAACCTAGCAGTTAGGTGATGAAACCTGCCCCCTCCCCCTCACTTCCTCCGCTGTGATCTGATAACCCTATAAGATGTAAAAGAATGGATCCAACGCCCATCAGAGGTCTGATCTGATGTCAGGAGAGCTTCCCTGCATACATCACCTTTCATCTTACAAGCGATCAAAGACGAGAGGAGGGAGCAGAGATGAGAGGGGTTACTACCACCAAGAAGGAAGCGCTGGGGGCAGAGTGTATCCTTTGGACCCAGGGCCCCTGCGCTGTGAACCTCCTAGACCGGGGGATGGGGGGAGGGGGTGTGGAGAGGGGCACCTGATGCCATGATGCATGAAGATCTCTAAGGAACACAGGGCCGAAGATACTTAGCAGACACCAAGACCTTTCCCCAGAGCTGACACAGTGAGAGAGACAGACAGACTTCCTACAGCTGGACTGTAGGAATTTGGGCTTCTCCCCTCCTGAACTGTGAGAGAATAAATTTCTGTGCACTAACGCCACCCCCTTAGGGTGTTTCTGTGAAAGCAGCACTAGAGAACTAAGATGGTTTGCTAATCGCAGTGATTGGTTCGGAGGTATGCACGTGGCTCAAGCCGGACCAATGAAGAGCCGGCCCCGGGACTTTTGCTAGGTCTTGTGTGAAAGAGCGTACCTTGCGCATAGGCATAGGTGCGCCCCGCTCCCGCCTCACCTGTGGCCAGTCCAGCAGCCCCGCCATCATCTGGCCCGTCTGATTACAGTCATCATCGATGGCCTGAGTGGGGAGAGAGGAGACTGTGAGAAGGCTACTCAACTGCAGCTCACGGCCACCCCACGGGTGATAAAGGCAGAACTGCCCCCACAGGGCTTGCTTGTCCATAGCCCTCCTTGGATTGCTAAGTGCACGGTTGGTGGTTCGAACCCACCAAGCTCCCCGAGGGAGAAGGATGAGGCTATGTGCTGTCATTGAGATGTACATGTCAGAGGCTCCGAGCCAGAATGAATGCGATGGCAGTGGGTAAACTTCCCGGAAGGGGTCCTCGTGGTGCGGCAGGCTCAACGCTGGGCTGCTGACCACGGTCAGCAGATGAAACCCACCCACTGCTCTGCGGGAAAAAGACGTGGCAGTCTGTTTCCCATACAGATCACAGCTGGGAACCCCTGCGGAGCATTCCTACTGTGTCTTACGGGAGTCCCTGGAGCTGGAATCCACTATGATGGGAAGGGGGGTGAGGGGACTGGGGGTGGCCAGGGGACATGGCAGGCTTTGCAATTTCCATGGAAGCAGATTGCAGGCCTAAACCATAGGATCCCAAACTTATTTGGCATATCGCCCTCTTATCAGGGAAACATTTTTAAAAAATTACTCAAAATGTCTTTTATGCCACAACCCATCCTCCCGGGCCAAGTGTAGGTATCGCGTCTGTGTCTCCTGCCAGGGGGCGCAATCACACACACTGGGAAATCCAACTCTAAACCAGGGGCCCACTGGGTTTCCACTCCCAGCGCCCGCCCTCCCACCACCCGGTGTCTGTCCCCAGAGCCCCAGCTCTCCTTGTTCCCAAGGGCCACGGCCCACCTCCCCCCAACCTTACCCAGTGGGCGCTCAAAGGGCTCCCTCGGAAACCCACAGCCTGGCAGGTCTAAGGCCCCTGCGGCGCCACCTCCTCCCGGGCAGGGATGTGGGGAGGAGACGGGGAGCTGGGAGGTGGGCACACTTACCTGCTTGCCCAGCAGCACCAGGTCCACCTTCTCTTTCTCCGCCAGCTTGGCCAGGACCCGGGCCACCTGCAGGGGCCCCAGGCGGTCGGCCTCTGCAGCTGGCACCTCCACGTGAATGCCTCGGTCTGCGCCCATGGCCAGAGCAGTGCGGATGGTCTCCTGCGGGTGGGGTGGGTGGGAGTGGGGGTTGCCATCAGCTTCTGGGCCTAGGAGTCTCGGGTAGGGGGAACCCAGGAGTCTTGCCCTGGGGCCCCTCCTCCTTCAGACCCAGGGGGCGCCCCCCCCACCCCCCAGCCGGAGCACCTGGCACTGGGCGGGCCCGCAGCTGACCGCGATGACCTCCTTCACGAGCTTCTTCTCCTTGAGTCGCACGGCCTCCTCCACGGCGATCTCGCAGAAGGGGTTCATAGAGTGCTTCACGCCGTCCGTGACCACGCCCGTCTTGTCTGGCTTCACGCGGATCTGGGCAGCGGCCAGCAAGCGGCGAGAGTGGGCCCGGGGTCCAGGCCCCGCCCACGGGGCCCCGCAAGCCACGCCCGCCCACCCCACGGACAGGCCGGCTCCTCCCAGAGGAGGCTAGGGCCATGCCCACCCTTTCTCCAGGGCAGGATGGGGGGCATAGGCCAGGAAGGCAGGGTCTGTGGCGGGGTCCCACAGCTCCAGGGACCGAGTCAGGTTGGAACGACGGGGCGGAGGTTGGGGTGCGTTTCATCCCCTCATTCCCACCTCCTGGGAGAGGAGGCGAGATTCCCTGTGCTCGCCCCTCCTCTCATCACTCCTCATGCCTGTCACCCCCTGCTTTGCTTGCCTGATCCCACAGTGGGGAACACATCATATGCAAGCTATCGCTACGCACATCTCTTACGGGAGGAGCTGTCGCCACTCAGCTCTGGCACAGGTGGCCTATAACCGAAGGAAACCTGCCCGGCCCCGCTCCGTCTCTTGGAGTGCAGGATGGCGACCGTCGCGCCAGTCCATCCCACGCCGCGCTAGCCCTCCGCTTTACCAAACGCGAGGTCCCCGGAAACAGTTCGCCAGGCCTTTTTTCCTAGTCCGGCCAGGGGTTTCCTGCTGGTATCTGAGATGCCGGTGGCAGAACTGTCGGCATGGCAGCACCACACCAGGCCCCACTGTGGGACCACCTGGCAGAGGGGTGGGTGATGGGGATTAGAGGCGTGTCCCATCTGTTGTTCATCCGACTCACAGCACCCCGATGTACCACGACAGAGGGAACCACTGCCTGGCTTTGCACCGTCCTCACCTCTGGTACGGTTGTAGCCACTGTCAGTCCACCGTCCTGAGCACCTGCCTTGTTTTTTTTTGTTGTCCCTCTTATTCTACCAAGCACGATGTCCTTCTCCAGGGGACTGGTCTCTCCTGGTCACGTGTCCAAGTGTGTGACACAAATTCTCACCAAGGAGCATTCTGGTCGACTCCTTCCAAGACCAGCCTGGGAAACCCCGCGGGGCCGTTCTTTCAGCACCTTCAGGGTCGCTCTGAGTTGGAATTGACTCAATGCGACAAGGTGGGTAAACTTTGTGGACAGCGACGGCCACATCTTTTTCTCGGATGTGGGGTGCCTCTCCCTTTGCTAAAAAAAACAACCACAGAATGTTCCAGATAGGCCTTTTCCCTGGAGGGAGTACCCTTGCAGGCTGGCTAACTCAAGGCCAGGGTTAGAGCCTGTCCTCGCTAGGATGTGATGAGCTGTTCGCAAGCATCGACCTTGCAAGGTGAAGAAGAGGTGGGCTCCAGGCGCCCAGCCGGCTTGGCTCAGGGCGGAAAAGGGCGTTGAAGGGCTTGTGTTGGTTTCTGACTCGGTGTGCCATTTCGCAAAGCAGGAAGCCAGGGCTGGTGTGGAAAATCAGCCGCAGGATTGTTTTGCTTTTGTTGCAAACAATGATGTTCCAGACATTAGGGTGGAGGAATCCCACGGTCTTAAAGGAGCAGCACGGGTGCGCCCCACAAGATCATGCCGGCCTTCTCAGGGGGCTGGGTGTGCCGCAGCTCAGTCTGCTCACGGTCTCAGCGGCGCCTCGTTGAGCGCTCAGCTAGGAACTGAAAGATGGGGGATGCTGAAGCCGCCAGCCTCAGAGGAAAGGCCTGGTCCCGTCAAGACTGAAACCCAAACCCAACACCATGGCATCGGTTCTGACCTCTAGTGCAGAGCCGGAGCCCTGGGGGCGGCGTGGTGCGAAGTTGGGCTGCAAGCCTCAAGGTCGGCAGTTTAAAACCACCAGGAGAGAGGCGGGGCTTTTTTTCTCCTGTAAACAGTCTGTGAAACTCACAGCAGCAGTGCTACCCTGTCCACTAGGGTTGAGTCGGCATCGACTTCACCGCAGCGTCTGCTTGTGGTGTGTTTGTTTCACAGGCCCGCGTGGAACGGCCCCACGGGGTTTCCCAGGCTGTGGCTGGTCTCGGAAGGAGTCAGAGGGTCAACACAAAAAGAGGCAGACCTTCAGGGAGATGGACTGACACCATGGCCGCAACCATTGGCTCAAACTTGCCAAGGACCGTGAGGCTGGGGCAGGACGGGGCAGCGTTATGTCCTGCTGCACACCGGGTACTAAGAGTTGGAACCAGCGCAGTACCACCTAACGACGACAAGAGTCTTCACAGAAGGAGACTGGCACACCTTTCTCCCTTGGAGCTGCTGGCTGGGTTCGAACCGCTGATCTGTTGGTTGGCAGCCCAACCCTTAACGCGTGGTACGTTCAGAGCTCGTTCTAGAAAGACCAAAACCCACGGCCTTTAGGTAGATGCCGACTCATAGCAAGGCTGTGGGGCAGGGTCAACTACCCCGTGGGGTGTCCGAGTCTGTACGTACATCGTTCCGGAAGCAGGCTTCCCCCTCTTTCTCGGAATAGCAGCTCAAAAAGCAAAAACAAACTTTTAAAAGCATGCCAGACTCTGCCAACGAGTGGAGTCTGACTCATGGAGACCGTATAGGTCGGAGGAGAACCGTCTCTTTGGGCTTCCGAGCGCCTGTGGCGTGAAGGGTGGGTTTGAACCTCTGACCTTGTGGTTAGTGGGGCCATGCTTAGCTCCTCCTGAGCATCAGCCAGTGGGCTTGAACCTCTGATTCCTTGGTTCTAAATGTATCGCCAGAGCACCTTCCTGAAATTCTACCTCGGAAGCCATTCAGGACAGTTCTGCTCTGGTCCAATGGGCCAGAACGGACTCTTTCACACATAACAGGGTAGGAAGTTAGGAGGATTTTTTCTTGGGGGGTAGGGGGAGGTGGAGCAGTTTGATCATTAGCTTGATGTTAGCGGTGGTGGAATCTTCTGGAAATGGAGACAGAGCAAAGCGCAGTGAAACAACAGGACACAGGGTTAACCAGTGTCACCAGACTGTCCAAGGGTGGAAGCCAAACGTTCTGGTGTGCATAGCTCAATAATAATAATAATAATAGAACCAGCCGGATCTGTCGAGAGAGGGAGGGGCGGTTGCTGTTCCCAGGGAGATGGAGAGGGGTCTGACTGGAGGGTCAGAGACACACCACCCAAAAAAAACCAACTTCACTGCCATTGAGCGGATTCTGACTCATTGTGACCCTACAGGGCAGGGTAGAGCTGCCCCGTCTGGGTTTCTGAGAGTGTAACTCTTTACAGGAGTCGAAAGCCTCACTTTTCTTCCCCAGAGCAGCTGGTGGTTTCGAACTGCTGGCCTTGGGGCTAACAGCCCAACACATAACTACCACGCCACCAGAAAACCCAAACCAAACTCATCGCCATCTAGTCGATGCTGAATCATAGCAACCTTATAGAGCTGTGAGTTTCCGAGACTGCAACTCGTTACGGGAGTGACAAAGCCCTGTCTTTCTTCAGAGGGGCAGCTGATGGTTTTGAACTGCCGAGCTTGCAGTTAGCAGCCTGTCATTTAACCACTACACCACCAGGCCTCTTCCGAGGCTTGAAGCGGCCAGGCAGAGGCATCGGGACTTTGTGCTGAAGGTACTAGGGAGCCACGCACAGTAGAGCTGTGAGCAGGGGAGGGGCAGGGTCAGCTCTGGGTATCTGGAACAGGCTGGACACAGGAGACAGGAGGCTTTGGGGAGGGTCCAGGCCAGAGAGGAAGAGGCCCAGCTGAGGAGACGTTGAAGGTGATGAAGCATGGGGTGAGGAGGGCAGAGGGCAAAGGAGGGCAGGAAGGTAGGAGGGCCAGGGCCAAGGAGCGAGAGGGCAGGCTGTGAAGTCCAGCCTGGCATTTGATCAGCAGGAGTCTAGGGCGCTGTTGGAGGAGCTGGAGAGGCAGCTCTGGGGCAGGGGCAGGGGCGGATCCAGGGTGGCTTGCACACCGCCTCTCTGTTCTCTACTTGGGCACCGGGCAGCCGATGCGGGCACCCAGAGAGGAGCCGATGCCAGCCTGCCCCAGTCCACCCTAGCTAATGGATGAGACCAATATGACCCCAGACCTGTCAGCTGGGGAGACCATAGCATTGGCTCTGGCAGCAGGAGGGGGAGGTCTGGGGTGGGGGTAGGGGAAGGGCTCACGGGGAACTGTAGTATTAAATTAAAAGATGGCGTAGAGGGAGGTGGGGGGCCAGCCCCCACCGCTAATGCTCCTATTGCTACTACTCGGATTCAGTAATACTACTTCTGGGTTCAGTAACGCACAATTGTACGGTTGAGATATATAAGTATTATATTAAAGCCATCGAGAGCATGAGAGGTACTACAATAATACAGTCAGGCATGATACATGGCAACATTGCTCACCTCAGCCCAGCTTGGTGGTCCACGTGGAGAGAGGGGGAAGGGAAGGAGGGAAAGGGAACAAGGGAGAGGGGGAAGAGTCAGGGAGGTCAGAGTCCGAGAGAGATGTCCGACCGCTCTATATTGCTGACCCATGCCATATACCTTTTGGAAGCATGCCAGCCCACTAATTGCATGTAGAGACATACGTCACAGGGAGGGGTTGCACTATAGGCTACACAGCAATGAGAGGGTGGTCTAGGGGGTGGTCTCTGGGTCTCCATAGGAACCCTTATCAGTAGGGTGCAAACCCCTCCTACAGGAACCAAGCTAATGGTCCCAAGCTTCAGAGAGTAGTCCATTGTCTCCAGCAGCAGGGAGCAGGCCCACCCCTGTGGTGGGATGAGACAGCAGTCTGGCAGCAAGTATCTGACTTCCCCCCACAGGGAACAGAAAGGAGAAGGAAATCCCAGGAGCCCGAGAGAGAACAACCTGCCAAGTGGCGCCACAAGTGCCACTGGGTCACTTGGCAGCAGATTGCAGATACAAGGAGCACTGGCCCTGGAGCTCGGACAGCCTGGGTTCAAATCCTGCCCCTGCCTCCAATGGGAGTGGCCTGGGGGTCTGGCAAGTCACTGAGCCCAGAGGAAGCCCCTAGGTGTGGACATGGTCAAGGCACTTGGCTGCTAATGGTATTGGAGTGGTCAGAGGCCCCAGCCCAGCTGGAGGTGCCGCAGAAGAGAGGTGTGGCAATCTAATGCTGAGACACCAGCCCCTGAAAACCACCTGCACAAGGTCACTGCGAGTCACAGCCCGGACGGAGCGTTTGGGCTGTCACTGATTTTTAGCTCTGGTAGCGCAGCACGTTCAGTGTAGGCTCGATGACCACAGCGTGGGCAGCTCAAGTCCCCCAGACACCCCAAGGGAGAGAGATGAGGTCATCTGCTCCCCTAAAGATTGACAATCTCAGAAACCCGATGAGGCATTTCTACTCTGTCTTACGGGGCCACTAGGGGTTGGAACTGGCTTGATGGCAGTTGGTCCTTGGTCCTGTCTCACTGCCGTTGTCACACCAGGCCAATGCTGCCACCTGGGACCAAAGAGAACAGGGGAGAACTGCCCCTGCGGGTGTCCCGAGCCTGCGACTCTTTACAGGAATAGAAAGCTGCATCTTTCTCCCATGGAGGTTTTGAACTGCTGACCTTGGGGTTGGCAGCCCGACACGTAACACACTCCCTGAGCAGGGTGTCTGACCCCCACGGAGGACTTAGGACTGCCTGGTACACAGCATCAAGGTCAAACCGGCTGCTGCCAGGGCCAGGTGCCAACTGGTGGTGCCCGTACCTGTGAAGGAGTAGAACTGCCCCGGAGGAGGGTAATTACTATGAAAAATCTCACAGCTGCAGGTCGCCAGGCCTTTCTTCTGCAGCACGGCTGGGTGAGTTCAAGCTGCTAACCATTAGGGTAATAGGAGAGGGGTCCTGCTGGCGTAGCAGTTATGCCTCGGGCTGCTAATCATAAGGTCAGTAGTTCAAAACCACCAGCCACTTTGCGGGGGAAAGATGAGGTTTTCTACTCCAATAAATAAAGCATCAGGTAGGGTGGGGGAGAGTGGGGATAAAAAGGAGCTGATATCAAGGAGTTCAAGATGTTTTGAACCTGATTGTGGTAGCAATTGTACAATACTGCACGATGTGATTGAACTATGGGATATTATATCTGTAAGAGCTCCCAATAACATGATTAAAAATATCAGAAAAGAAAACAAAGTCACTCTCCGAAACCCACAAGGGCAGTTCTACCCTTCACAGGTACCAGGGTCGCTGAGTCAACATTGACGCTGTGGCAGGGAGACTGGTTTGGGGGTTTTGAGTCTAACAGGGGACCTGTGAGCACGGAGTCGCGGGGCCTGCAGGGGTCTGTCTCTCGTGCATGGCTTCCTAGTCCCCTCCTCATGCTGGCAGGGTGGTTTGCCGGCTCCAACTGTGTGGCCACAGTTTCCTCGGTGCCCCTGGAGATGCCAAGCTCTGTGCTGGTGACGCTGAGGCTCAGAGGTGAGCTCCCAGTCTGGTGGGGGAGATGGATACATAGCCACCACCTTCAGCCTGGTTCGCATTGGTGTCGGGTTCACCTCTGTCCAGACCAGCTTCCCTCTGGGGACGAGCCTCGCCCTCAGAGACGCTGTCCCTCCCACTTCCAAGGAGAAGGGAAGGGAACACGGGTGAGTCAGCGTTAGAGCACTCATCTTCCCTACCACAGCCCCAGTGGTGATGTGGGTTAAGCTAACGACAGGGTCGGGGGTTCAAACCTACCATTTGCTCCAAGGGAGAAACATGAGGCTGTTTGCTCCCATAAAGATCGACACCGCAGCAACCCTACAGAGGATCAGTTAGTTAAAATCGACTCCACGGCAGTGAGTTTGGGTGGATGCTGAAGGCCTGGGTTCTATGCCCTGCCAATGAACCTCAAACTGGGCCATCACCCGTCTGTCGGTGATGCCCGTGTGTGGCTACAACGCTGAGCAAGTTTCAGAGGAGCTTTCAGACTAAGACAATCCGAAGAAAGACCTGGCGGTCTACTTGCAGAGGGGAAAAAAAAATCACCCCACAAAACCCCCGATGGATCCCAACTGTCCGAATTGGTTGTTGCCACTGGTGGCATGGTGCTTACGTGGTGGATTGCCAACTGGCAATTCAGCAGTTAGACACCACCAGCCGTTCCTCGGGAGAAAGACTAAACTTTCCACTCTCATGAGGAGTTACAGTCTCGGAAATTCACAGGACAGTTCTACCCTGTCCTATAGGATTGCTGCGAGTCAGAATCCACTCAATGGCAGTGAGTTTGGGTCTTTTGGGGTCAGTTTTGTTGACTGACTCCCTGGTGGCCTAGAGGGTTATTCATTGAGCTGCTCACCAGGAGGTCAGGGGTTGGAATCCATCAACTGCTGCTCGGGAGATGAGGCTGTCTATTCCTGTCAAGATTTAAAGTCTCAGGAACCCAAAGGGGGCGGCGGTTCGACTGTGTCCGACAGGGGGGGTCTGAATCCACTTCATGGCACTGGCATACTGAGTCTGCAATAGCTGACAACTACCACCAGCTGGTCTGGTTGTCTGCAACTTCCGTGGAACTGCTGTGTTTAAGCAAACATTTCTCTCTCTCTCTTCCTAGCTCCAGCTTCCCAACTCACCCTGGGGGCTAGGAGGGTACAGTTCCCACGGTACCTGGTAGAACCTCCATAAGGGGCGCTTCAAGTGCTGAAAGGGGTCGGTCTGAGGGGACAATGTGCACAGTGGGTGAAAAGTCTGGCTGTGTGCACAGGTGAGTGGATGTGTCCGGCCCACCTGGCCATCTGTGCTCTGCTTGTTCCTAGCTGAGGGGCCACTCCGTGTCCGAAATTCGGCCGGGGGCTGCCCACCAGGTCTGTGTGCCCACTTGGCACACAGCTATTAGCAGTGAGAACTTGGGGAGACGGGTCACGACCCCAGAGGGTCGTGGGTCTGAATAAAATGGGATCAGATGCCACGACCTCACAGTTCTTGACCTCTGTCCCGTGTGAGACTTTGGACGTATGGGGTGGGTGGGTGGAGGTGAGAGCGGCTAGGGGTCATAGGTTACAAGAAGACCCTGAGCGCTAATTAGTGACCCCGGAAGCACATGGCCGCGGGGCTCAGAGAGGTGGGAGAGGGGGACCCGGTCACCTTCACTGCGAAGTCGATGACCCTCTTGACACCCACGAGCGCGCGTAGCTCCGCCATCTTCCTGCTGTCACCGCCGCCGGAAGGGACAGCCCGCAAGTTCAGCCCACTCGGTCCCAAAGCCTCCTCGTCCCTCCCCGCCCAAGTCTTTCACTGCGCCTGCGCCCAGCGCAGTACTCGCCTCCCCCGCCCCGGCAGCGGACCAATCAGAAGGCCAGACGATAGGGAGGCGGGTCAAGTGAATGCGGACCAATGGGACGCGGATCCTCCAGAGAGAGGCGGCGCCCGGAGGGGCGGGGGCGGGGCCTGGAACTGGGGGAAAGGTCGTGCCTGGGAGGTCCACGTGTGGAAAATCCTGTGTCATCCTCAGCTGTCATTCCCAGGGTATTCAGAGCTCCCCTCGCACCGCGGCCCTAGTCTTCCTACTCCTTTCGTATTCTCCACGCCGCCGTCTTCCCACTGTAACCGTGTTCCCATGCCCACGCCGTGCGGGGGTCTCCCAAGTGCTCCCCGTCGGTGTTCCGGTGCCCGTCTCGCGTCTGCGCCCCCTGTCTTTGCCTGAGCACGCCTACAAGTCCCCTTCTATCCATAGCCCCACACCTCCGCCACACGCCCATATGGACCCCTGTGTCCCCTTTCGCCCCAAACCCCCAGCCATGGTGCACTCTGGGTTCCTGCCTTCTCTCATGTCCCCACCTAGGTCTCATGTCCCCTCGACGATCGTGTACCCCAGACCCGTAGAAAGTCGCCCGGAGCCGCGGTGGAAGGAGAAGTTCCTTTATTGTGCCCCAGGCAGCCGCGGTCACAGGCACACGGGGAACCCGCTGATGGCGTCAGTACCCTGCACGATCATGTCTGCCAGCAGGAAGCAGAAGCCTGGCGGGAGGGGAGCGGAGGGAGGTGGGTACCTGGGCGGGTCCTGGGGTTTTGAGGCTCTACTGGGTCTGGGACAGTCGGGGCGGGGATTGGGGAGCGGTCCCAGGAAGGCACTGGGGGAGTGTTTAGGGAAGCCCTGGGTAGTGGGTGGGTGGTGGCCGGTGGGCTAGGGGCTCTCTGGGCAGTCTCCTCTACCCCGCCGTCCCGGTTACCCGTGAGAATAGAAAAAGGTAAAGCCAGCCACCCCGAGAAATAGGACCAGGAGAAGAAGAGGTCCGACTTCCACGCATTCTTCACCGAGTAGCCTATCAGTGCGATCAGCAGCAGCAACCCTGGACCCGCAACGCCGGACAAGTTAGCTGGGCCAGGGGATGCCGCACGCAAGCCATGGGCTAGACAGCGCACGCGCATTCCATCGCAGTCCCCGCCCCCTGATCTTCACTTTTCTCCTCCCACCACTCCCATAGTTCTGCCCTCCGTCTCAGGCCCCGCCCCCAGCAGGCAGGCCCTACACGCCCCTTCCCCGCCACGCCCTCTATGCTAAGCTCCGCCCCCATACACTTAGGCCACACCCATCTCTCTCGTCACTCCTATTGCTCGCCCCTCCGTCTCAAGACCCGCCCCTAGTCTTCAGAACGCACCACAGCTCTCTTCCCTGCCACGCCTCTAACCTTGCCCCCTGCGTCAGGCCCCGCCCCTACCTCTTAGGCCACACCCTCTCTTCCCTGCCAAGTCCCAGCCCCTTCTAACTCTGCGGTTCTGAGCCCCCGACCCTTTATCACGTCTTGTCCTGCCACGTCCTGTCGGCCCTCAGCTCCTGAAAGCCCGTCCCCCTCGCCGCCGGTCCCCTCCTCGCCCAAGCCCACTCTGGACTGCAGCCTCACCGCTGAGGAAGAAGGTGATGCTGGTCGCGCGGCCCCGCTGGGAGTCGCCACGGTGGCATAGGATGCACAGCCCCATCGACATGCCCACGAAGCCAGAGCCCGCCGCCAGCACCATGCATGCCCCCGTCATCGCCAGCATGGCTGGGGAGAGGGCGCTGCGTAAGACCCTCCCCCAGCCAGTCCTGGAAAGGGAGCCCCGTTGTCCAGACCCGGCGTCCAGAGTCCCGATGGAGACTCCCGAGGGGTGGTCAGGGTCGGGACACGAAAACAAATCCCGAAGTGAGGGGATCGGGAGGAGAAAGGGTCGTGGTGGACTCGATTATGGAGGGGCAGCTGGCTCTCTGGAGGAGCCCTCGTGGCTCAATGGGTTATTGGTTGGGCTGTTAACCACGAGATCAGCAGTTCGAAACCAACAGCCTGCTCTTTGGGAGGAAGATGAGGCTGTCTGCTCCTGTAGAGAGGTTACAGTCTCCGAAACCCACAGGGGCGGTTCTGCTCTGTCCTAGAGACTCGCCGGGTGTCGAGATCGACACGTTGGCGGTGAGTTGGTGTTTGGAGCTGGGTCTGAAGTTGGATTGGACGGGGTGGGGGTGGGGAGGCTCGTTGAGATGCGTCCACCATTTGTGCCACCTGCGGTGGAAGGCATGGACGTGTGGGGCCTTGGGTGTTGTCTGGGGGACTGGTGAGGCCGGGGAAGGGGCGGGGCATCCGGGGCGGGAAGGGGCGGGGCATCGGGGCTGGTAGGGGCGGGGCATCGGACGCCTGCGCGCGCCGGGCCTCACTCTCGCAGGGTATGCTGTTGCACACGCCCAGTTTGCACTCCTGCCACAAGCCGCTGTGGCCCTCCGAGTTGCGGGACCAGTAGTTGGTGGCGGTGGAGAGGACTATGAGGACGTTGGCTAAGACGCTGAGCACTGTACCCCCGCTCTGAAGACTCCGCTTCACCCCCATGCCGGGGAGGCTGCTGGGAGGGGCCAGGAGTGGGGTGGGGAGGGATGGCCATACATGCCTTCCCATTGACCAACACCCCTGGCGCCCCAGGCCCCTCCCTGTCCCTTCCTCTCAAGGCCCCTCCCCCAGCACCCCTGCTTGGGACCCCTACTTTGGGCGGGGGAGGGGACTTAGAGACACTTGTCTCTCAAGACATTTTTGTGGTCCCCCCATCCCCTCCCCAACCCAGCCCCCCCCAGTGCCTCCTGAAATCTTTATTCCTGAAGACCCTGGCCACCCCTCCCCGCCTCAGGTCTCCTCTGTGCCAGGCACCCCTCCCTGCCGCCCTGAATGGGCACCAGAGACCCGCCTTCAGCGGGGTCCCTCTCAACCCCTCCAGTGCCCCGCCTCCATGCGCACACCCAGAGGCCTCCGTGACTCACGCTCAGTTCCCCAGGGCTTCCTGGACCCCAGCCAGCGTAGTGGGGGGAGGGAGGCTGGGTCACTGTGAGGCAGCAGGAGTTCCAGAACCTTCTTCCCCCAGCAGCCATTTAAAGGGATAAAGCTCCTCTAGCAGCCTGAGGGCCCGGCCAGGGTAGATCATTTCCTTCTAGAAACTTATCTGGCCTTGACTTCAGAGGCACCACACAAGCCCAGCCCTCCCTTCCTGCCCACCTTCCTCCCCTTCATGGTGGTCAGTCAACTCCTCCCAGCGTCAGGAACCTCATGCTCAGATGGAAACCTTTCACCCCATCTTGTAGGGTTGGGATTAGACGGACTCCACTTTGGTGGCTGGGGGGTTGATTTGGATCTGGATCCAGTAATCCAGGGTTCTGGGGGTGGGGTGGTATTCAAAGCTCCCTAGTGGCCTTGCCAACCACTCCTCTGGGAAAGATATGGCAGGCCGTGTGCTTCCATCACGATTTAGATATAAAGCCCCTCAAACCAAATGCACCACCATCAGGTCCCTTCTGGCTCATCTCGAGCCAACAGGACAAAGTAGAACTGTCCCTGTGGGCTTCCGAGGCTGCAGATCTTGATGGGAGCAGACTGCCTCATCTTTAAAACCCCATGGGGCGGCCATTGGGTTTGAACTGCTGACCTTGTGGTTAGCAGCCCAATGTGTAACCAACTAGGCCACCCAGGACTCCGTTGGGAAAGAAAACTCATTGGGGCATTTCTCCTCCTCCTTACAGGGTGAGACAGAATTGGCCCCCTGGCGGTGGGTGGGTGGCTGGGTAGGTCTGGAGGTTGCAAGGGTGAACGCAGCGCTGGGCTGCTACCTGAAAGTTGCAGGTTCAAATCTCCAGAGACACCTCTGAGGAAAAATGTGGAGATCTCATTCCTCAGCATCACCCGTTTCTGTCTGTCTCTCAGATTCCTCAACCGAGCTCAGTACCTCCCACCGTGTGTGGACCTACCCTAACCCCTTGTCCCACCCGGTTACTCGGGCCATACTCACTGTTCTTGCCTCCTCCCTGCCCTTCACTCCACAAGACCCTTGGGTTCCCCAAACCTATCCCCTCCTGCCCCTGCGTCTGTCTGTCTGGACCTCCCCTTCCTTCCCATCTCATGCCCAGGTTCCCAGTTGTGCTCCTAGCTCCTCACCTCTCCTGCTAGTCTCATACTTCCCTCCTGTCCCCACAAGGGACCCTCTTTACAACAGAGATGACACAGTCCCGCCTCTGCTCACAGCCTTCCCCTAGCTCCCCATCACCCTCAGGAGAAACCCCAGTGTGACCTCGGAGGTCCTGGCCCCCATCCACTTCTCCATCCTTTTTGAATCATCCCCACATCCCATGTCTCAGCCCCCCCCCCCAAAAAAAAAGAAAAGTCCTTGGACCCGTTGACCTGGGTTTGTGTTAGCCCCGGTGGCACTGTGGGTTAAGTGTACAAGGTTGCTCACCATCAGGTGCTTCGTTCAAACCCACCAACCACTCCCGGGGAGAAAAACGAGGCTGTCTGCCCTCGGAACGGTGTACCATCTCAGCAGATCTTTTACAGGATTATCATGAGTCGGAATCTCGATGGTAGTGGATCTGGTTGTTTGGGGGCCTGGGTTGCTGCAGTCTCTGGGTGGTCCGATGGTGAGCAGGCATGGCCGCCTGCCCAAAGGTTAGGGCTCCATCAGGGGCACCTGGGAAGTGAGCCCTAGAACTTCACTCCTGAAAAACCAGCTGAAGACCTTGTGGGGCACAGCCCTCCTCTGATGAGGACAGGGCCCCCAGGAGTTGGAATCTTTTCCACGGTAACCCCCAGGACCACCTGGATTACCTTGCTGCTCGGCCCTCCAAACACCAAACTCACAGTCCTCGAGTCGATGATGACTCACAGCCACCCTGTAGCACAGGGTAGAACTGCCCCTGTGGGTTTCCAAGTCTAACGCTTTACCAGAGTAGAAAGCCCTGTCTGTCTCCCACAGAGCTGCCAGGGGTTTCAAACTGCTACTCTTGCCGTTAGCAGCCCAACACGTGACCACTCCTCCACCAGGGCTCCTTTCCTGGGCCCTCAAAAAGTTCCTAAATCCCCACCCCACCCCACCCCCTGTCCCCAGAGAGCCTTACTGAGGAAGACCTCCATGATCCCTCTCGACTCGGAGATGCCCTACTTCAACCCTTGGGGCTCTGACTATTGTCTGCCTGGCCTGTGTTGGTTGCTTTTCTGCCTGCCTCCCCGACTGGACTGCCAGCACCCCCAACCCGGTGGCCCAGCGGGGAGGGGAGTGGAGGTTGCCGACATGCTTGAGATGTGCAGGCTGAGGAGTGAATGAATGAGTGAATGAATGGATGGATGGATGAAGCACACAGGGATTGAACATGTGCAAAAGCAGACAGCAGCGGAGACAACTAGTGGCCGTGGGAGAAGAAAAAATAAAAGGTGGCAGATGGGCGCCCTAGTGTCGCAGTGCGTTCTACACTAACTGCAAGGTGAGCACTTGGAACCCACCAGCTGCTCCTTGGGAGAAAAATGAGACTCGATTCCCACAAGGGTTTGCGGTCTCAGAGAGCCAGGGCTGGCGTTCTGCTCGGTCTTGCTGGGTCTCGGGGAGTCAGTGCGCACTCAACGGCGGTGAGTGGAGTTGAGCTTTGTCTTGTGTTTCTGGTTGGGTGTCCACAATGTCCCCCCTGGGGTGGGGCGGGTAGGCACTGGGTCACCCAGGGTCACCCACCATGACGCAGATCCCCCATTGGCTTGGAGGCTGGGCGAGCGAATGCTAGAAGAACCAGACCTTGACCCGTTTGGGTGGAAGGCAGGAAGGAACGTATCCCGGCAATCTTTCTGGGGCATGATGGAGGAACAGAAGAAAGGGGGAGGGAAGGACGTAGGGGAGACAGGGTCAGGTGGGCCCATGTCCCCTCCCCCCACCCCCCAGGGGTCTCCCAGAAGAAAAACGGCCCTCCAACAGAGGGCAGCCCGCTAGCCTCGCCTTCCTGGTCACATGCTCTCGTAGCCAGCCCTGCGGCACAGGGCCGCCCCATTCAGGAAACCTGGGGTGGTCAGAAAGAGACAGAGAGGTAGGTTAGCAGCTGCCCCAGCGTCCCTCCCAAACTCCCCAGAGTGGAGGGCCCCAGTTACCTGTACTGAGGAAGAGGACAGCTGAGATCCAGCCCAAGTAGAAGGACCAGCCAAAGGAGACTTGCCAGTGGGGTGCCAGGCCAACGTGCAAGATGTGGTTGGTGTACACGGCCATTGCCACTATCATGAAGATGGCTGGGGAGGAGGGTGAGAGAGACCCCTCAGCAGGGATTCACTGGTCCCACCAGCCACCCGACCCGGCCCGGCCCCCAGTCCTGCCTCACCTGCAGGAAAGGCTGTCCCGGTGGTGGTGGTGAATATGAGTCTGGTGGGGGAGGACAGCCAGGGGATGAAGTACCAGGCCAGAGCCAGCAAGGCAATCAGACCGAACACGGCTGCCAGGACGATGAAGCACTCCGTCGCGATCATGAAGGCTGTTTGGAGAGTAGGAGGTGGGGGGGGGACCTGAGTGCCTGTCCCTGTGGGTCACCACACCCCAAGGCCATGAGTCGATGTGTGTTCCACCCCCCCACCTGTAGACCTTTGTTTGGAAAGAAGGCCTTGCTTTGAAGAGGTCACTGGCTAAGTCAAGGAGAAGGCGACGGAAAGTACCAGGGACTGCTGAAAGGTCAAAGCCGTCTGTCATCTCTCCTATTTCCCCACCTGCTGCAGGACCAACACCAGACCTCCCTCCTGCCCCGAGGGGACCCTCTTAACAACAGGAGCTCTGTACAGGGAATCCAAGGCGGATGAGCCCTGCAGGACCAGTGGTGTGAATGGCGAAACAGGGAGGGTAAAGGGAGAATGGGTAGGAAAGAGGGAACCGATTACAAGGAACTATATGTGACCTCCTCCCTGGGGGACAGACAACCGAA